ACTGAGGTAATAAGCAGAGTGAAGTGGGAGCTCACAGCTCTTCTTTAAATGGAGTGACGCCCCCTGGTGTTCAGTGCTCAGTACAACAGCCCCTCCCTCCCTGATCTCTCAGTCAGACTGTGTGGAACATTTATTTCTCTCAGTTTTCTCAGTGTTGGTTGAATGTTTTCTAATGTTGTCAGTGATTGAGGCTGTGATTTATTGGGATGTTGCTCATGTTGACACAGTGTCAGTAAACTGGTGGTGGGACAGTAACAGTCACTGACCTGATGTATAAAGATCATTAGCATCAGTTTGTACAGAGGATGTTACAGACACTGAACTCAGACACACTGTAGAAATATTCTGAATCCAACTTTCACACCTCAGAGTTTCTGAAGAGTCCACTCATGAAATCTGACCCACTTTGATTTGATTTCTACTTTGGTTTCTTCATGTGTCTTCATGCTTGGAATGACTAGTTCACATCTGTCAGACCACAGAAACATCTGGATCCTCTAATGTTGGACTTTATCTGTGAAGCAGCCATATTTGAGTGAATTCACTATATTGTGTTGTTCCACATGAAATCACGTCCTGATTGATGCAGTTTTCTGTGAATCCTGAATAAAATCTGCTTGATGAAAAGAGTTTGATCAGAGTCTTCACTGGATCATCAGCTGCTTCTTCAGTCTGTTGAAGCTTCTGCTGAACTTTATTCAATAAATGTCTGTTTGTCTTTGTTCCTGAAACACTTTGACTTTGTTGTGATTGAACAGAGAAACACACTCCACCATTAGAGCTGATGTTTAATCAGAGCATCATGAAGAAGGTGTGATAAACTCTGTTGCTGCTGGTTTGTGTAGTGACCACTAGATGGAGCCAACACTACATGACTGAAGGGATGATGCTGTGTGGACTGAGCAGACTCAACTGATCTGATGGAAAGTTCACTGTCTCCAGGAAACAGCTCTGCACAGACTGTCAACCTGCTGTGGACTTCACCTGACAAGATTTAATGTCTGAGGTCATTCAATATATTTGACTCTCCATAACAAAGATGTAGGTTTGGTTGTAGGAGTGAGAGGACACGATGACCTCAGAGCTTCTTCTACAGCAGCAGCAGAGAGTATAAACCTTACACTCTACATGAATATGTGATCAATATATTTAGCTAGTAATAAATGATAAATTCATTGGTTTTCATGTTTTGCATGATGTAAAACAGTGTTCTTAAAAAGGTATAAACAGTTTATATTAAAATGACAAACATTATCAGACATAATCTCCCTGGTAGCTGCTGATAAATATTGTTGTTAGTTGTATAAAAATGACAACGACCTCAGAGCTTCTTCTAACAACAGACAGTCTATAAAAACAGACCTTACTTTCTACATGTAGAGTCAAGTCAACTTGATTTCTAAAGCCCATTGAAACACAGCTTCAAATATATGGAATAAGTAAAACATGAGGGAAGCAGAGTAAATATACTGTTTACTGAACATGTAAACACACTAACAGAAACAAGCACAATATATGACAAATATCATCCAGCAAATAAAACATTTGATTAAATTGGTTTTCAAATCGATTTTCCAACGTCGACAGTGAATCTTTGAATAAATAAAGTTTTATTTCTGTCTTTCCCACACAGAACTCTGCTTTATGATTGGTTGATGATCAGTCTTAGGAAAATCCTCAGTAAATAAAAACAGATAAATGATGTTTGTGATGTGTTAGACATTAGTAGTATTTTGTATTTCTACAGTTTCCCCTTCATGAAGTCAGGTGAGGTGATCCAGGTGATCACCTGAGCTCGACAGGTCTACGACTGAGGGACTGTAGAGAAAATATCAGAGTGAGGCTGAATGTTGTGTTTCACTTTTAAAGAGAGTAAAACCCTCTGAGGCATTTTAATATGTTCTGTAATAAACCTCAGTATCTAATAGGATCCACCATGAACATGTGACCTGAGTCACTACGACCTTAAACTGATAATACATCTCAGTATTTATTAAGTTAGACCGTTATTATGATCTACACTGTTGATTTCCTGTTTTATCTGTTGTAATGTTCTTTAAGACGGTAAACGAAGCCAATCAGTGTGACTGTAGCGCCACCTGCACTGGAGAGAGAGAGCGACAGTAGAGAAACAGGCATGAAAACAGAAGGGGAGAGAAGAAGAAGAAGAAGACGGAGAAGAAAGAAGAAGAAGAAGAAGAAGAAGAAGAAGAAGAAGAAGAAGAAGAAGAAAGAAGAAGAAGAAGAAAGAAGAAGAAGAAGAAGAAAGAAGAAGAAGAAAGAAGTAAGAAGAAGAAGAAGAAGAAAGAAGAAGAAGAAGAAAGAAACGTTTTGAGGAATTAAACCTTTATTTAGTCATTTCTTGGAGGACGTTGTGTTCACCTGCCCGCTTCGTCTCTGGAAACGTGTTTGTTTACGTTGTCGAAGATAGGATTTGGTGAGTTTAAACTATTGTCCCTACATGTTGATTAGCAGGTTGTTTTCTGTGATTAGAGGTTGTTTCCCTGTTGAATTGCAGGTTGTTTCCTTGTTGATTAGCATAGGTTGTTTCTTTTGGTTCGATTAAGCAGGTCTGTTTTCTGTTGATGTAAGCACTAATATTTGAATAAATAACCATAGATCCATATTTTCTTCACGTGTATGAAGGTGGGCAGTCCTCTTTTTTAACACAGCTAAATACTAAACTGTAAACTGTCAGCTGTGTGGTTATTGAGGGGTGGTCAGTGGGTTTGACCCGATGAAAGGACGTGTAATAATCCTGGAGCTGGTGTAAGAAGCAGGGTGTTCTGCTCTCAGTGGTCACTTATGTTTATATTTGTAGAGAGAGGTGTGTGAAGACGTGATGTCACAGTTTGTCTGCTGGGTCGCAGCAAACACTGAGTTGATCCTACCGTGATTCAGGTGTGAACCCAGTGTCCTGATCCTGGGAGTGAAGGTCGGTCCTTGCAGAAGCAGACGCCATCCAACCTGATGTCTCCTGTGGGCGGAGCCATCTTCATCACCAGCTTCAGGTGATCCTCACAGCTACAACCTGCCCTGTTGATCAAGAGGATAAAATATCTCAGTCTGCATGATTGAGGAGGTCGAGCACCTGGATACAGGGTAATAGAGAAAGTGAAGGTGACATCATCTCACTGTTGAATTCTGGGTAACTGTCATCATCATGTAGTGAGGACCCCGCTGCCTCTCTGCTAAACAAACCTGAAGGACTTTCTTGTCATGCACACACTGTAGGACAAACCCTGTGACATCACGTTTCCATCCACCTCTCTCTACAAATATAAACATGTGACCACTGAGAGCAGAAACACCTGCTTTTAACCAGCTCCAGGATTATAACACGTCCTTTCATCGGGGTCAAATCCCACTGACCACCCTCAATAACCCACAGCTGACAGTTTATCAGTTAGTATTAGCTGGTTTAATAAAAGAGGACTGCCACCTTCTACGTGAAGAAATATGGATCTATGTTATTTATCAATATTAGTGCTAATCAACAGGAAACACCTGCTAATCACAAAACCTGCTAATCAACAGGAAACAACCTGCTAATCAACAGGAACAACCTGCTAATCAAAGACACTGTAATCAACATGAGACAATAGTTTAAACTCACCAAATCCTCGTTCGACACGTAAACAAACAGTTTCCAGAGACGAGGCGGCAGGTGAACACAACGTCCTCCAGGAAAATGACTAATAAAGGTTTAATTCCTCAAAACGTTCTTCTTCTTCTTCTTCTTCTTCTTCTTCTTCTTCTTCTTTCTTCTTTCTTCTTCTTCTTCTTCTTCTTCTTCTTCTCTGTCTTCTTTCTTCTTCTTCTTCTTCTTCTTCTTCTTCTTCTTCTTCTTCTCTTTCTTCTCTTCTTTCTGCCTTCTTCTTCTTTCTCCTTCTCCTCTGTTTCATGCCTGTTCTCTCTGTCGCTCTCTCTCTCCAGCAGGTGGCGCTACAGTCACACTGATTGGCTGTTACCGTCTTAAAGAACATTACACAGAGAAAACAGGAAATCAACAGTGTAGATCATAATAACGTCTAACTTAATAAATACTGAGATGTATTATCAGTTTTAAGGTCGTAGTGACTCAGGTCACATGTTCATGGTGGATCCTATTAGATACTGAGGTTTTATACAGAACATATTAAAATGTCAGAGGGTTTTTACTCTCTTAAAAGTGAAACACAACATTCAGCCTCACTCTGATATTTTCTCTACAGTCCCTCAGTCGAGACCTGTCGAGCTCAGGTGATCACCTGGATCACCTCATGATTCATGAAGGGGAAACTGTAGAAATACAAAATACTACTGAATGTCTAACACATCACAAACATCATTTATCTGTTTTTATTTTACTGAGGATTTTCCTTAAGACTGATCATCAACCAATCATAAAGCAGAGTTCTGTGTGGGAAAGACAGAAATAAAACTTTATTTATTCAAAGATTCACCTGTCGACGTTGGAAAATCGATTTGAAAAACCAATTTAATCAAATGTTTTATTTGCTGGATGATATTTGTCATATATTGTTCTTGTCTCTGTTAGTGTGTTTACATGTTCAGTAAACGTATATTTACTCTGCTTCCTCATGTTTTACTTATTCCATATATTTGAAGCTGTGTTTCAATGGGCTTTAGAAATCAAGTTGACTTGACTCTACTTGTAGAAAGTAAGGTCTGTTTTTATAGACTGTCTGTTGTTAGAAGAAGCTCTGAGGTCGTTGTCATTTTATACAACTAACAACAATATTTATCAGCAGCTACCAGGAGATTATGTCTGATAATGTTTGTCATTTTAATATAAACTGTTTATACCTTTTTAAGAACAGGTTTACATCATGCAAAACATGAAAACCAAGAATTTATCATTTAACTAGCTAAATAATTGATCACATATTCATGTAGAGTGTAAGTTTATACTCTCTGCTGCTGCTGTAGAAGAAGCTCTGAGGTCATCGTGTCCTCTCACTCACACAAACCTACATCTTTGTTATGGAGAGTCAAATATATTGAATGACCTCAGACATTAAATCTTGTCAGGTGAAGTCCACAGCAGGTTGACAGTCTGTGCAGAGCTGTTTCCTGGAGACAGTGACTTTCCATCAGATCAGTTGAGTCTGCTCAGTCACACAGCATCATCCCTTCAGTCATGTAGTGTTGGCTCCATCTAGTGGTCACTACACAAACCAGCAGCAACAGAGTTTATAACTTCTTCATGATGCTCTGATTAAACATCAGCTCTAATGGTGGAGTGTTTCTCTGTTCAATCACAACAAAGTCAAAGTGTTTCAGGAACAAAGACAAACAGACATGAATAAAGTTCAGCAGAAGCTTCAACAGACTGAAGAAGCAGCTGATGATCCAGTGAAGACTCTGATCAAACTCTTTTCATCAAGCAGATTTTATTCAGGATTCACAGAAAACTGCATCAATCAGGACGTGATTTCATGTGGAAAACACAATATAGTGAATTCACTCAAATATGCTGCTTCACAGATAAAGTCCAACATTAGAGGATCCAGATGTTTCTTGTGCTGACAGATGTGAACTAGTCATTCAAGCATGAAGACACATGAAGAAACCAAAGTAGAAATCAAATCAAAGTGGGTCAGATTCATGAGTGGACTCTGAGAACT